TTCATGTCTTTCTACATCAACATGTGTCCCCTCTTCTTCATGTCTCTTCTACATCAACATGTGTCCCCTCTTCTTCATGTCTCTTCTACATCAACATGTGTCCCCTCTTCTTCATGTCTTCTTCATCAACATGTGTCCCCTCTTCTTCATGTCTCTTCTACATCAACATGTGTCCCCTCTTCTTCATGTCTCTTCTACATCAACATGTGTCCCCTCTGTGGAAAGAGACTCTGAAAGTTTCAGGAACAAAGATTCTCTCTCTTTTTGATCCATTTCTATAAAAACCTGTCTGAAAACGAGCTGATCAGATTTTGGCCACTTTGTGATGTCATAACGAGTTGTTGGCTTGTGTAACCATTAGCCAATCAGCAACCAAGGTAAGGTTTATTCAATATGCTCCTTAGATAACTTATTGTTTTATTATGTTCTCCTCATAGCATTGTGAAGCACCTTGAGATGACGCTGTTTTAAAGTGTGCTATATAAATGAAATGTAATATTATAAAAAAATCAAATGGGAAATAATGAGAAACAAGAAAACGAAACTTTCTCAGTTTCAAGTCGACGAATATATTCCAGGACTTTAAGTGTCGGTGGCGCCTCCCTTCTTCTGTCACGTCACCGTCGGAGCCCTGCTCACTTAGTAATACTTAGTTCAAGAGGGGTGACTTCCTGCTGTGGGCAACTCTCCAGAAAGAGACACATTGTGGGAAGGCCTCCACCTTGATGAGGAATGTGTTTACATAGCGGATTCCAACTCCACCCATTAACAATCACAACTATGGGGGGGGGGGGGGGTGTTATGTGGTAAGCAGTAGTCGTGCCCCTGCTATCACCCCTTGACATTTACAAGATTACTGCAAAAAGAACTGCATCTGTAAAAAGGAGCGGCAAACCACTTCCTTAAATGAAAAATCCCTCAGCGGTCAAATGTCCTGTTTAAGACATAAGAGCAGCATTTTACAATAAATACAACATGTTTAGGCTTCATGACGTGGTTATCCGTCGTTGAGATTGTTTCTTTTGACACTATTATTAAAAAAAGGGCTGCTATTCAAGACAGTAACCAAAACAACACATCGAGTCTGAGCTTGAATACTTCCCTCACATTGCCTTTGCAAATCTAGAGTTCAAAGTGAAGAGAAAGGCAGAAGACAGTGAACTCTCTGCCACTTCCTACGGCACAAGCTGCTGATGTAGCGGCGCGGCGGGGCCAAACCATTTCCTGAGCCAGGCATCCTGCAAACATCAGTCACACAGCAAACACACATTTCAACAATTCACCACAGCATGTTTTGTCTTTATAACAAGGTGTGAAAGACAACAGGGGATTGTGATCTCAAGCTATTAAAGAAGTGAATTAACCCTCTTTACAGACTGTAATACCATAGGGTGAGCAGATGGGGAAACTCACAGTGGAGTCCTGTCCTCCGCAGTATCAGCAAATCTGATTATTTTCCACGCTACAGAAAATAACCTTCATGTTGGAGTGCAGACAGCTAAAACTGTTTGTACAGATTAAGGTCACAGCACAAGTCAAACAGCGGCTTTATCTTATGCAAAGTCTCAAAAACAAATAGCGTAGTATTTTGTCAATGAATTCATTCGTTCTGTGCCGACTAATAAAACTACAAAGGTCATCAGTGGGGAATTACCGAGCCACGTATCCTTTCCCTTTCCCCCGGCAACATTATTAGAATAACCATTACTCAGAAATGGAAGGATGATTTCCATAAAGCATTTAGAGAGCAATCTAAATGCAGAACAGGATGGACGGATGAACACATTATCGAGTTAACTGCTAATTATCCACTGCTAATTTACTGTGATTAAATGTACTCAATTGCAAAGGCTTAGGCTTAGTAGTTTATAACGTAAACCAAGGTAACATTTCAGTGAGAAAAGAGGGGATTCGGTGGCGAAGAGAGGACTTTAATACATTAATAATTTTATAAACTAGACCTGGGTCATGTCTTTTTTGCAAGATAGGTGTAAAACTGAGCAGTATGGATTTGAGCACTTCATGTCTGAGGTGCTGTTTACACGAGAACGAAACGGGTTGAATCCCCTACAGTTCTCTATTGTATGGACGGTTCGTTCACACGAGGCCGTAACGGAACGGCGGAAACGAACCCCACAAACGATAACGGGTCCCAAGGTGGGTAGATCTGCGGACGCAACGCTCTGGGGGGCCAAACGGCTCTGTGTGTACGTCCTATACGATCATTTCCTGATAACGATGAAGCCATAGCCCCGCCTCTCCCCACCTCTGCTGCTCACTGCTGTAGCATGGTCAGTAGCTACTGTCTGCTACTGACCATGCTACAGATGTTAGTGCAACATCTACAGCTGCTCTACCACAACCATCAGCAACAAGTGGACATGGAGAACTACATGTTGCTAAATCCACCGCGGAGAATAAACAGAAGGGCAACCATGGCAACCATGCTCGGGGTCTTTATCGCTGCTTTTGATGTATTTTGTTGCGGAAGTACAGCGCCACTTACAGGCCCGGCATATGTACTACAGCGTCTCCAGCGGGTCGAGCGGTCTCGTGTGAAGGGACACGTTTATTGAGCCGTATCCGTGGGAACAGAAGACTTTTTTGATATCGAATTCGGTTAGTTTGCGTTGCGTTCCCGTGTAAATGGGGTCTGAGGGCATCATTTGTTTTCAAGAGAACCAAATGTCCATGCACTTAAAGAGAAACTGTACAATCCTCAAAAGTCTTCAGGGGAGAGTGATCATGTTGGGAAGAGCACAATATTGTGCAATTAACATAATATAAGGGAAACATTACCTTCTTGATGTATGCCAATGTTACAGTTGTTGTGCAATACATCTAAATCCTTCAGAAAGTAAAGCAAGCAAGTTGTCTTAACCATTTTTGGATTACTTTCTAAATGTGTCCCCAATCACACAAAAAACATTTTCAAAATCCAAAAAGAAGACCGCACAGTGGGATATCTTTAGAGGAATAAGAAGACATGGATTGGGATTCTCCACTAATCCCAAATCCAGAGCTACAGATGCTCGGTTACACAACTGCACAGCAACGCTTTAAATCAGACAAACATTATCTAAAGTCAAAACATCCAGCAGCAAGGCTACACAGACACTATCAATGCTCTAGATCGCTGCTGACACGAGTGCATTGGCACACAAAAGGCTTTGGGGTCAGACAGATTTTTTTAGAAAAAGTTAAAGTATTGTTTGGGTTTGTGTCGGTCAGATTTAATCTAGATGCGGTACAGAAGGAGATTACAGGACCAAATGCAACTGATGATGAAATGGATACCGGTTATTGCATTATCTGCAGCCTCTCCAAGTCACGTTGCTTTCCCACGCCAAAGCCTCTGCCATCATTTCACATTAAGCAACGTTAACACTTCAAATCAAAATCAAACTGATGTTCTCTACTCATGAGTATAATGACCAGTGGTGGGAAGTAACTAAGTACATTTACTCAAGTACCATTTTGTCATACTTGTGCTTTACTTGAGTATTTCCATTTAATGCTACTTTACACTTCTACTATTGTACATTTTACTCCACTACATTTATTTAACACTCAAAAGTGACCTGCTACATAAAACACACACAACATCACTATATGATATAATGCAGTACCTTAGTACGAATATACATTTTTAGATCTAAAATTGTCTTAATATGCACAAACTACAACATTCAAATGTTCTTACATGTATTTGTTAGCAATCAAAAGAAGGAATAATTTAATATTCAATAATATTATAATACTTTAAAACGAGCCATGGTGCATAATGGGTACTTTTACTTTTGATACTTTAAGTAGATTTAGCCGGCAATACTTCTATACTTCTACTAAAGTAACATTTTGAATGCAGGACTTTCCCTTGTAATTAAGTATTTTCCGACTAAAGTATTTCTACTTTTACTTAAGTAAAGGATCTCAGTAATTCTTCCAGCACTGATGATAACGAAACACTTCATTTTTAAAATCTTAAAAACACAATTGAAACGTGTGACGTCATGCCTGTGTGTGGGTATGTTGGGGATTTGGGCTCTCAGCACTAAATCAATTAGCTCGGATACAAGGGGGCAACTGGTTAGCACTAGCAGCAGCTGGTGACTGGCTTATCTTTAGACCTAGCTTTGCAAAGTGTCAGATAAGTTCACTAGCTGACATTGGAAGCTAAAGTTAGCTAGCATCCAGAGGTGGAAGAAGTACTCAGGTCTTGTACTTGAGTAGAAGTACCAGAGTGTAGGAATACTCTGTTACAAGTCAAAGTCATGCAATCAAAATGTTACTTAAGTAAAAAGTACAAAATGATTGCCATACAAAAAAACGTACCAAAAGTAGAAGCAGTCATTATTCATATTGGCACATTTCAGAATCATATCTATCAAATGTTTTGATCCTAATTATTATTGTATTAAAGTGTTCTCAAAGCTGGTAAAGGTGCAGCTAGTTTGAATGACTTTGTATACTGCAGGGGAGCTTAATTCGGATTTAAGTGTTGATTTGATTTCACATCATTAATCCAATCTGCAAAGTAAGATCAGATATACTTTATTGATCCCAATTTGGGAAATGTCTTCGTCACAGCAGCAAATATAAGACATTGCAGATGAATTAGAGGTAAATGAAATACAATTCAGAATAAATAAGACAAATACATAAATAATAAGGTATGAAATAAGTGTAATGGAGTAGAACTAGAAAAGTAGCTAAAAAATGAAATACTGAAAAGTAGAGGTCCCTCAAAATTGTACTTGAGTAAATATACTTCGTTACTTTTACTGCTAGCATCTAGTCACGGTTGCTACATTAGCGTGCTAACACTGACACCTCCATGCACCCCGCCCAACACATCAGACAATGTCAAGACAGACAAACTCACACTGCTGGATACCTCTCTACCGTTAGCTTTGCGGCTAACAGGCTTCCTTATGGAGCTGAAGCTACCAATATCGTGTGCTGCGCCATGTCTAAAGCTAAGGTCACTTGTAACTTACAGGATGCCGGAGCAGGAGGTGCACACGAAGGATCCCACAGTCATGTTGGCATAGGTTGGGCCGCGCTGGTCGCAGTCAAAGCACTTTCTGTTGGGAGGCAAACTCGTCATTTCTCTCAGCATCTTCAGGTGTTTCTCCTCCTGTTTTCGCTTCGCACTCGCCGCCATGGTTAGGGGATATTACAGCAGCAGGGGCTCAATAAAACCCGGGGAGGGGAGACAAGGAGGGTCAGCTAGAGCTAAAACAAAGGGCTTGTGCTTTTAAAACGGTTGCCGGCCCGTGATAAAGAAGACAGAAAGGGAATGGGTTGGGGGGGCCTTGCGTCTCCTCCTCGAATAAGGAGAGTTTGAGGCGTTGGATTGGCGACACTAACGGAACAAGATGATTCCTGCCGTCGACTTCCGGTTTCGTTTTGATCCCGTTATACAGAGTACACCGCTTCGGTTATTTGGGCAGGGCCAGATATTGATGTCGTTACTTTCCAATATTTTGTAATGTTCCAGGTTCCAACACATTTCCCTTAGGTCTCTGTTCATTAAGACTATTATATATGTAAATGGAGCGTTATTACTTCATAATGGTCTACATAAATAATGTTGCTCTAATATCGTGTATGTGTTGCGTGGTAACCACTTTTGACTGGCGTCTATTACAATGTTGTGTTTATATATTCGTTTATGTATATATTATAAGGTTATGAGGTAAAACAAGTAATCTATTTAAAGAGCACACGCGGTGACTTGGCCGTGGACTTGCCAATGTAAAACGGAAGGTTAGAAAATGACGTTAATTATCTTGTCCCTTAAATGTCTCTTTGGTTGCAATCATGACAGTGCATAGACAGCTACAAGTCTTTCTTTAGCACATCAGCGCCACCCTGTGAATACATATAGTCACTGCAAAACTAATTCTTAGTTTTTGTGTATTTTATGCTGCATTTTAGTTAGAAGTTAGTTAAAAAATACTGTAAACATAACACGTAACATATAAGTAACTTAGATGAAACCATGCATGTCAAATCAATGGCATAATAAAGAAAATGTGTTATATGATACAGTAAATACTTCTTGTGTATACAAAAAATGAGGGCTGGTCTGGTTATTGCAGAGAATATGAACCATTTCCAGGAATAATACTTGCCACTAGATATTTAAAAATGTGCCTAAAGGAATATATTCTACATGGAAGAAAATAGACAATCCACAAGAAATCATATTTATAACTTTTTATTACAGATGAACAAAATGTTATAACAGCATACAGAGTAAATCAAATGGCAATTAGTAATGAGTATTTACAAGAAAAAACAAACATGAGGGCTGTTTTGCGGCATGTTGTGCTGAACAGCTTGAAGTTTATTAGCCAATGTAATTTATGGCAACTGTGGACTTTACACACTTGAATATATTACATTAATTCAGAAACACTTGATTGATGATGTCCGATATAGTGGAAACCTGGCCCCTTCACCAGTCTTTTTTTTTTTACAATATGTTTAATTGGTTCTCTTTTGTCTTGGGGACTGACATTGACATTGGTAAGTAAGGACAATGGTGACCTTATGTTCCTTGACCTTCTCTCTCCAATCCGTATAATAGCATTATCCACACCCAGATGTACTATATCCCAAATTATCCCTCGTCTTCATTCGTGCCACTTTAATGTCCAATTTTCTGCTGCAGCAAAAGAGTTTTGAATTCATTAATTGCTGCTGACTGCTTGGATTAATGGCTGCTGATGTGGCTGTAGAGGAGAGAAGTTGAAGGGTCTGTGGTTCTCCGTGTAGCCGTAGAGTTTCCGGAGGGCCACGCGAGCAGCCTCTTCCTCTGCTGCTACGAGCGTCTCCCCCGGACCCTGAGCCAGGAGCTTCTTGTCGCTACATTTAAACAAATACCAAAGAAATTAGAACACTTGTCAGATGACACACAAAACAATTTGAACCATCAGGTCTTTTACAAATCATTGGCATCTCAGTCAAACCCTTATAAGTTCAACATGCAACGTGGTTTCATGTCAGCTTCGATTTTTTTTTTTATGTCAGTAAATCTTAAATTACTGTCACACGGATAACATCTAGGACTTGGCCATTTATTGGGAAATGACACTAGATTTGGTCCAAGATTGTGTTTGCCTGGTCGTATAGGCTGCAGTAAAGTGCTGTCATTTACTGAACTGTTCAAGCTGCTCTGTTATTTGTCTTTACCCACTTAGCCAACATTTTAAATTATTTATCAACTATCGTGTGAAAGCATCAATGGTCCACCCTACAATATTTATATGGAAGAGACTGTCACAAAAATCTCAATATCTTATTGTCCTCATATTACAGCATGCACAACAGCACACATACCTGTACAAGCCGACAAAGTACAGCGGCAGGACGGTACTGGCTCCTGCCGCCCTGACGAGCCGAGGCTCTGGCAGGGGAAGGTTCCTCTGAGTGAGTTCCTCCACCAGCAGTCCCATGGGGTCCACAACTGTCCACATGTCAAACAGGTCCTTCCCTATCAGCTGAGTGGACAGGAAATCCTACGGAGAGGGGAGAAGACAAGCATCATATGGCGGGAAAGACAACTCAAGTTGCCTTTTACAAAGTGTTGATTACCCATAACAATCTGCAGCAAGCCTCTTACCCTGAGGAACAATCCGGTCTGCTCGGCTCCACTGCTCTCCTCCAGAGCTCCGATCACTGCCATGAATGTGGAGTGAAGCACGTCGTCAGGAACAGGACACTCTGCGCTCATGGTCAGGTCTTCAATGCCCAGGTTTCTTGCTACATAGGTCACAACTGGTGAGCTGGTGAGGTGCGCTACGACGCTCTCCACCCCTTCTCTCCGCAGCCTGGGGAAGTTGGCCCTGCACCAGTCGGACAGGAAGCTTTTAGTGAAACCCTCTCCCTTTTCACTCAGCTGAATGTTGTCTTTCAGAGCGAGGGCGGTGGTCTCCGAGTCCAACCCCAACGCCCGCCTCCTCTCCTGCTCCGCCTGCAGGTAACAGGGATTGATGAAGGCTCTCTTCAGGGCCTCCAGGGAGAAGTTCTCCTGGAGCCGGGAGCTGAACGACTGGACCTCAGCATGGAAGTCCCAGTGAGGCTGTAGAGAGCTGAAATGGAGTCACACATGGAGTTAAATCTAAATCCTGATTTACTCTACAAAAATGTCCCAGACTAGGTCTTACATAATTACAAAAAAGGGGTTGTTACTTATGACTTGTGTTGGTGTTGTGTCCCTAACCCACTGTCCACTACAGTGAATACTTTTAGCACTAACAGGAAGTGTTTAGATTACATTTAATCACAGCAGCATGTAAACAAGGCATTGCACATGTGTAAATGAAAAAGAGTATAAACAAACAAACATCCTAAAAATAGAAAATTAAAAGTGAGGTAGAAAGTAGGGGGACAAGTCAAGTAAAGCACCGTGAACAGCACTTTTTGGTAAATTCTTAAAATAAAAAGCACAAATTGGGGCTGGAGAGATGGCATAATGTAACTGTGCACAGTAACCCCTGGGTCCACATTACAATCAGCAGAAATTGTACCAACTCACCCTCCGATTAACAAGTCTGTACTGACAAAGTGTCAAATATAATTATATTATTTTATTTATCAAGCCAACGCTATCGGCTACATTATATAAACACAGTGACCAATATCAGTGGTGTAAAGCAGTGGTTCTCAAATGGGGTACGTTGGAGTACTGCAGGGGGTACGTGAGATTTATTTTATGTTAATGAAAAAAACAACATAATTAATGCATTTAAACAAACTACTAATAGTAGATTTACTTTATTCAAAGTTTACAGAAACTCTGGATAATAAAATTGGAAAAATAAACGTGGTGCTCTCTTTTCCTCTCCCTCTCCTGACAGCCGTCAGTCTCGTGCAGCTCGCTGAACCTGTAATGAGTGACCCGACAGTAAAGAATAAATATATTTATAACTAGTTTAGGCTAGTTCCAGAGTAGATAAACTAGCTAAGTGTGTTAGGTCTAACTCTTAGTGTATTTTTGCTCGGCTCAACGGTCCGTCACAGCGGCGGAGCTGTGATCATGCAGAGCTGCGTGTTCTCCGTCAGCAGCAGCTGATCTGATCTCTCTCTCGCGTCCAGTTAGACTTCACTCGCGTTTATGTCCAAATCTATCAGATCTAGCTAGTTCTAGTTAATGATATGACTGCCTGCTTATCAAAGGACACCTAAACAATAAGCGTTGCTTGGCAACGGCGTGTAGCCGCAAAGTATAGCGCAGCATTATGCATGTGTTTATATGAGGGGTCAAAATCCCATGTTCATAAAATGCTCATATATTTTTTCTCTTCATTCCCCACGCCCCAAAAATAAATAAATATACCAATTTTAGGAAAAGTAACAAAGTTTGAGCAGTGTAGGTTTTATATGAACAGAGTTTCACATATCTCAAAACGCAAAGTGTAATAACTGCAGTTAGCCTCCCTGTCAGAATGACAAAGGTCCTCAGTGAAGCACGAGCCCATGTTTCACTACATTGTACAACTTATTAAAAAGATCAGTTCAATGCAACTAATGTCGTCTTAGTGTTATTGCATGATGTTAAAATTGGTTTGCCATGAATTTAGTGATGGATTGTAAACATTTGAAATGTAGCATTTAAGTGTTTCTCAGTTACTGTTGTTGTTTTAATAAATCAGACACTGATGGTGCAGCGCTGCACTGTACCTCTTTATAGGCATTTTTTCCTTAACAAATAGTTTCTGCGCTGATCAGGGGGTACTTGGCTGCATTTGTTTTCAAAGGGGGTACATGAGTGAAACAAGTTTGAGAACCACTAGTGTAAAGTATCGATGTAAATACTATACTTTTACCCAACTACAATTATTGAATACCTTTAGTTACTTTGCAGATTTAGATGAATGATGTGAAATATAATCAACTCTTAAATCAGACTTTAGTTCCACCTGGAGTCAATTCTCAAGCTACCCTGCAGTATACAAAGTCATTCAAACTAGCTGCACCTTTACCAACACTTTAATAACTATAATAATAATGTTTTTCTGAAAATAGGCTAATATGCATAATTAGTACTTCTGATATGATGCTAATACTTTTGTACTTTTACTTGAGTAACATTTTGAATGCAGGACTTTTACTTGTAACAGAGTATTCCTACAGTCTGGTACTTCTACTTTTAAGTACACAACGTTAGTACTTCCTCCACCTCTGCACACAGTGACCAAAAGGTGTCAGACACACTGATGGCCTTGAGATGCTCTCTGGTGAACCCCTGTTAGCTAACGTTAGCTAATGTTAGCCTCACCGTGGCTTCGGAGCTGGAGGTCCTTCCAGCTTCAGCTTCTTCGCCATGAGGTGAGTGTATGATTTCATCCATCGCTTCTTCTCTCTAACCTGTGAAACCGACACGTTTCTGCACACACGCTGACAGTGAATCCCTAATGTTAGCACACCACGATTTAGTAACAATCCGGACGCCATGTTGACCAGTGATAGTAACTGGGTGCAACAGCTTAAACTGTCCGGTTTATTATTTTCACGGCAACCAGAGTTACACGTGCATTACCGCCACCTACTGTGCTGGAGTGTGAACCAGAATTATTATAAAAAATCCAATAAAATGCTTAATTATCTGTATTAATATGTTCGTCTTTAATAATATTAGTCTCCCTGACCCGATGTCTAACATTTTGGGATTTTGTTATTATACTTCAAGCTTCCTGATTTATTTATTTAAAGTTTCTCTTTCTTCTCTGTATGACATGTTCTACTGTCTCCTCGACCTGGCAGTGTTCACATAGTCCTGATGGGTGTTTCTTCTGCTAAATGCAATGTTTTGTTCAGTCTAGTTTGTCCTATCTAAGCCTTGTTAACAAATTATCTTCCTTGGTGCTCGTTTTGTATACAGTGATAGTGATAGGGTGCAACAGCTTAAACGGCCCGACTCGGAACAAGAAACGGCCCGTTCGTGAGGGTTGAGCGTTACCATGGAAACAAACATAAACGTTAACTAACGTTAGCTTACGGAGCGGAGAGTGCCGAGTGAACTTTACCGGACAAAACATATTGTAAACTGCTAGATTATCAATACTAAACAAGTATTTATAATTTGTATTTATGCTGCTTGTTGATTTGATATAACTTTTTGGAGGAGTCCACTCCTAAAGTCCAGGAAAAAAGATGGGAGATGAAGTGGATCACAAGATGAAAGTTGAAGAAGTGCAGGAAAAGATGGGAGATGAAGTGGAGGACAAGATACAATATGAAGAAGTCCAGCAAAAGACGGGAGATGCTAAAATAACCTCTGTTATAAAAGACACATTTGATGACAAGATAAAAGATGAAGGAATCAAGGAAAACAAAGAAAACCAGGAACCTCAGGAGGAAATGAAGAAACAGCAATGGCCACGCATGACCAAGAAGTTCCTGAGAGACCACTGTAAGCAGCTCAAACTCTACCGCACACCTCACCTGAATGACACCATGTACCTGCACTTCAAAGGCTTCTCCACCATCGAGAACCTGGAGGAGTACACAGGTCTGAAGTGTCTCTGGCTGGAGAGCAATGGGCTTCACCGCATCCAGAACCTGGACGCCCAGACAGACCTGCGCTGCTTGTTCCTCCACCAGAACATCCTAGAAAAGCTGGAGAACCTCGACCCTCTGGTGAAGCTCTGCACCCTGAATGTCTCCAACAACTTCATAAGCACCATAGAGAACCTCTCCTGCCTCCCTGAGCTGAGCACTCGGCAGATAGCCCATAATAAGCTGAAGACCGCGGAGGACATCGAGCATCTGAGACACTGTTGTGCAATCAGTGTGCTGGACTTGTCCCACAATCTGCTCCAGGACCCTGAGATCCTGCTGGTGCTCGAGGCCATGCCAGAACTCAGAGTGCTGGACCTGATGGGGAACGAGGTGGTGAGAAGAATCCCAAACTACAGGAAGAACATGATCGTGCGTCTGAAGCAGCTCACCTTCCTGGACGAGCGCCCCGTGTTCCCCAAAGACAGGGCCTGTGCAGAGGCCTGGGCTGTGGGGGGGCTGGAAGGGGAGAGTAAAGAGAGGGAGCAGTGGGAGACACGAGAGAGGAGGAAGATGCAGGACAGCTTCGATGCCATGAAAGAGATCAGAGACAGAGCCCTGGAGAGAAAACGCCTGCGAGAGCTGAAGGAGAAAGGTAAACACACATGTTGCTCACATACATATGCATCTGTAGGAGAAGGGGGGGGGGGAGTGGTGAAGTACTTGGTTGATGTAGGCTACTTAAGATCTTCCTGGTATCAGCACTTAACTCCACTACATTTTTTAAATAGGCACGTTACTTTGAATCTGCATTTGGTGACGTGAACATTATTAGTTACTGTCATTGCGCGCCTGTTTCGTTCTAATGTCCTACAGAGAGCACGACTAGTGTATGCAGGGCCGGCTCTAGACAATTTGCTGCCCTAGGCGAGATTTTAGCTGCCGCGGGATGTTAAGAGCATTCCATGGAATATAACAAAAAGTGTATCTGAAATAAATGACATACCCCACCTTTAAGTACGTTTCAAAGCCCAAACTTCTATACTTATACTTGAGTAAAGAAATGTATTCAAATAGGGGAGTATTTGTAGGCCTACTTGTACTTTAATGAAGGATGTGTGTACTTCTGCCATCTCTGGAAGCCATGAATATCAGAGACTGGGGACTTCTGTTGTACATTTAATAAGGTTTTTGATATAGCAAAGACAACCAGGCCCGACCTCAGCGCCTTTGTTTGTTCCTGAAGTCGCTACAGCATCTTTTAACGTTGTCATATTTTGTTCAGGGTTGACTGAGGGTTCCACCTCTCCAGAGACTAGTGAGGATAATGAAACCCAGGTTGTGACTCCATCAAAAGAAGGGCTGGTCGAGTCGTTTGTGCAGGACTGCCTGGATGTTCACGAAGAGTTCTTGCAGAGTGAATCCACACAGGGGTCCGATGAACATCTGCCAAACAGTGAACATCTGGAAGAAGTTGAAGGTCTACAGAGGGAGAAGTTAGAGGAAGATGACCTGGAGAAATCTGTGACGGAAGAGAAAGAGAATCCAGAGCAGGACAACATGATTGAGCAGTTTGGAGAGAAGCAGCCGTCTCCGGTTGAAGATGTTCTACCACCACATGGTCCAGGACCGCTGGTTACAGAGCTGGAGGATGACGAGCAGCTGGAGACTATTCACCTTCGTCTGCAGCGCTCACTGCGCATCGACGACCTGCCTGACCTGGAGGACGTGGACACAGAGGACTACACTGCGGTGTTCTCATCTCAGAAAGCTTACAGACCTAAGATAGAGGTCATATCAGGAAGCAGTGAGGAGGAGGAGGAGGAGGAGGAGGAGGAAGAGGAATCCACGGAGAGCGACAGCGATAACAGCCCCAGCTTCGGTCAGGATGAAATGACATCGTTCTTAAAGAGCGGATCCTCTGAGGTCTCCAACAGTTCCTATGCTCTGGTGTATCCAGGAGATGGGGCAATACATTCTGAGCCAGTGCTGAAGATCAAACCAAAGCAAACCCCCTCTCCACCTCGCTGCCTGATTGAGGAGGTGGAATGATGCTAATGATGATGCTACGTATGCTAATAACCGAGTGAGACCAAAAAGAGCCCAATCAGGGCAGTTTTAACTTTAAGAATCAATATTTAGCTGTTGTTGTATTTAATGTGATTCATTGTCTAGCTTATTTTTGTTTAAACATTTCAAAGCCAGTTTGTTCCTATTGTATCGCTGTGAAAACAGAATAAAGTTTACATTATTAAACGTTTTCTTTGTAATATTTGATTTTTTTTCTCTTACATTTTTATATTAGGGTGACCTAGAAGTAAATCATATTTTTTTCAATAAATTGTAAGATAGCTACTCTTACTTTTAGGCATTTTTAGAGCATTCAACGACAGAAAAACACCACCTACAGGAGGATTACTCTTAGCGAAATTAGCATCAAGCTATCAGGGTTAAGAAAAACCAAAAATACGATGTCAGTCAAATTTGAGATCAATATGGTCTATACTTACGTAACAGCAAAATTGTGTGGAAAGATGTGTGTATATAACTTAATGCATCAATAATAATAATACAGGACAACATGTTATACGTATGGTTTTACTAAATTGTTTTACATTTCCCAGTTCAGGTCACATATTACTCTCTCCCCAATAAATATCCAACATGTTTACACCCCCACACTGAAGCGCCATTGTACATATGTTGGTAAACTATGCTTTACTCTATCTCTGAATGACTTATTTCTCTTGGTGACATGGACAAATATTTACAACAAGTCATGCTTTAGCGTTGAGCGAACAGATTTGTAATAAAAACAAAACATAGGACAACATAGGATAACATGGGACAGGATGACATAAGCGTAAAAAAATAAAACTGTACATGTATTAAATAAACCAAATTAAAAAAAAGAGTAGGCCCTGTGTGGAGCAAGCCGTGTACATGTGGGATGTCCTCACACAGGGACTGAGTGCAGCGAGTATAGCTAATATTTGACACAGAGTAAGGGATGGTACGTTCTTCTGTCACGGTGACGGAGGAAACGCAGCTCTAACGTCTCAACCACACCCAGGTGTTGACCAGCCAGAAAGCCACGGTGACGGAGTACAGGATCATCTCTCGCTTCGCACGCTCCTTGTTCTCCTCCTCCAGATGCTGCAGTCTCCGGTTCAACTTGATGAGCTGTTGACAAATTATACATAAAACAATTCTCAGTCACAGTGGCTCAGGACTAGCTCTCGCACCATACGTAGAAATACTATTCATTTGTATAGCGGTTAGCAGCTGTATTCAATAAATAGGCTCGACACTTTGTCATAGACTATCAGAAGTAAGATCATAGTGGATTTGTTGGAGCTACACATTTTTAAGAATTTAAAGGTCCTCTATTATACTGTTTTTCATTACTTTATTATAGGTCTCAGATACAAAACATGTTTCTAGTGTTTGGCCTCGAAATACTAAACAGATCATGCTTTGTAGTAGGGCTGCACGATATATTGTGTCGTGACGATAATCAGGACATGCGCGATATTCACATCGCAGGACGTGCGATTCTTTTAATTATTATTTTTTTAAATATTGTTTTAGGACGTGCGATATTAAGTAGGCAAATTAACTCAAACGCGTCATGTTACAATTATTTTGCTGCTTGCTACAAAAGGAAAACTCGCGCGGCTCTCATGTCAGGGGTACTTGAGTGAGTGCCAGCAAACCACCAATCACAATCAAATCTCCAAAGCTGCTAACCGAGCTAGCTCAGCTTGTTGCTCTGGTAACTTAAGATCCAGACGTCCGTGACTACAATCCTTCATCCGGTTAAATATAGTTAGAAAAATACAAATTGTATAGCATTAAAGTTCAAGAAAGGATGGTTTGCGGGCAATATATATCGCAGGGGGAAAAAATATATCGCAAAGTCAGTTTTTTCCAATATCGTGCAGTCCTACTTTGTAGCATCCCATAATCCCCTCTGTTTCAGCCCTGTTTCAAAAATGCTCTAGGAGGAGATTCAGGTGATAAGGTGGGGGGGGGGGTTTCCTTGGTTGGTGATTGGCTAATGGTTACACAAGACAAAAAATCGTTATGACATCATAAAGTGGCCAAAATCTGATCCGCTCATTTTCAGACAGGTTTTTATAGAAATAGATCAAAAAGAGAGAGAATCTTTGTTCCTGAAACTTACAGAGTCTTTTTCCACAGAGTTGATGTACATGTTGATGTAGAAGAGACATGAAGAAGAGGGGACACATGTTGATGTAGAAGAGACATGAAGAAGAGGGGACACATGTTGATGTAGAAGAGACATGAAGAAGAGAGGACACATGTTGTTGTAGAAGAGACATGAAGAAGAGGGGACACATGTTGATGTAGAAGAGACATGAAGAAGAGGGGACACATGTTGTTGTAGAAGAGACATGAAGAAGAGGGGACACATGTTGATGTAGAAGAGACATGAAGAAGAGGGGACACATGTTGATGTAGAAGAGACATGAAGAAGAGGGGACACATGTTGTTGTAGAAGAGACATGAAGAAGAGGGACACATGTTGATGTAGAAGAGACATGAAGAAGAGGGGACACATGTTGATGTAGAAGAGACATGAAGAAGAGGGGACACATGGTGATGTAGAAGAGACATGAAGAAGAGGGGACACATGTTGATGTAGAAGAGACATGAAGAAGAGGGGACACATGTTGATGTAGAAGAGACATGAAGAAGAGGGGACACATGTTGATGTAGAAGAGACATGAAGAAGAGGGGACACATGTTGATGTAGAAGAGACATGAAGAAGAGGGGACACATGTTGATGTAGAAGAGACATGAAGAAGAGGGGACACATGTTGATGTAGAAGAGACATGAAGAAGAGGGGACACATGTTGATGTAGAAGAGACATGAAGAAGAGGGGACACATGTTGATGTAGAAGAGACATGAAGAAGAGGGGACACATGTTGATGTAGAAGAGACATGAAGAAGAGGGGACACATGTTGATGTAGAAGAGACATGAAGAAGAGGGGACACATGTTGATGTAGAAGAGACATGAAGAAGAGGGGACACATGTTGATGTAGAAGAGACATGAAGAAGAGGGGACACATGTTGATGTAGAAGAGACATGAAGAAGAGGGGACACATGTTGATGTAGAAGAGACATGAAGAAGAGGGGACACATGTTGAAGACCAGAGCACTTAGTTGGCATACAGGGAACTGCTTTAGGCTGGTTTAGGTCCTATCTATCTGAACGCTCTCAGTTTGTACGTGTCAATGATGAATCTTCCACGCAAACCAAAGTTAGCCATGGAGTGCCACAGGGCTCAGTGCTCGGACCTATTTTGTTCACATTATATATGCTTCCGTTAGGCAATATTATAAGGAATCATTCTGTACATTTCATTGTTATGCGGATGATACTCAACTATATTTATCAATCAAGCCTGATGAAATTAATCATCTAAATAAAATTCAAGACTGCCTTAAGGACTTAAAAACGTGGATGACCTTAAACTTTTTGATGTTAAACACGACCAAAACTGAAGTTATTGTACTTGGCCCGAAGAATCTACGAAACAAATTATCTAAGGATATATTAACTATGGATGGCATTAATTTGGCCTCCAGTGAGACTGTAAGGAATCTTGGTGTTATATTTGATCAGGATTTATCCTTTAACGCCCACATAAAATCAATTTCAAGGACCGCCTACTTCCATCTACGTAACATTGCAAAAATCAGGCATATCTTGCCTCAAAACGATGCAGAGAAACTAGTCCATGCATTTGTTACTTCAAGGCTGGATTATTGTAACTCTTTATTATCAGGGTGTACCAAGAAGTCAGTCAAGTCGCTTCAGCTGATTCAAAATGCTGCAGCTCGTGTACTAACCAGAGTTAGGAAAAGGGACCCACATTACTCCTGTTCTGGCTGCCTTACACTGGCTCCCTATAGAACACAGGATAGAATTTAAAATTATTCTTCTCGCCTACAAAGCCCTTAATGGGCAGGCGCCATCTTACCTTAAAGAACTCATTATACCCTACTGTCCTACTAGGGCATTGCGTTCCAAGAATGCAGGGTTGTTGGTTGTTCCTAGAGTCTCTAAAAGTACAATGGGAGCCAGAGCCTTTTCTTATCAAGCTCCACATTTGTGGAATCAGCTTCCAGTTTGTGTTCGGGCGGCAGACACCCTATCCGTTTTTAAGAGTGCGCTTAAGACCTTCCTTTTTGATAAAGCTTATAGTTAGGGCTGATTAGATTCAGCCCCTAGTTTTGCTGATATAGGCTTAGTTTGTCGGGGGACACCTTACTTCTTCCTTCTCTCTGTCTATACCTGTGTACTCTCATGTTCCGATTAACCCAGCTTCCCCAAATGTCTTTCTTTTTGGTGTCTATATACGCCGGGATCCGGAGTCATGGATGATCCTGCGCTCCTCTGTCCTGGATCTTGAGTCGTGGCTGTGGTCCTGGATCATAGGTCCTGGATGGATATCCTCGTGGATTCATCTTCCTATTATACACACATGCATTTCCAAACATTTGGACTACCTATGTTGCAAATGTATTATCTTTTCAATTTACACACGGCATCTATTGCACGTCTGTCCGTCCTGGGAGAGGGATCCCTCCTCTGTTGCTCTCCCTGAGGTTTCTCCCATTTTTCCCTTTAAACTGTGGGTTTTCTCTGGAAGTTTTTCCTTGTACGGTGTGAGGGTCTAAGGACAGAGGGTGTCGTATTGTCATACTGATATTTTGTACAAACTGTAAAGTCCACTGAGACAAATGTAACATTTGTGATATTGGGCTATATAAATAAACATTGATTGAAAAAAATAAATAAACATTGATTGATGTAGAAGAGACATGAAGAAGAGGGGACACATGTTGATGTAGAAGAGACATGAACAAGTGGATTTTGCATAATAGGGGACCTTTAATACTTTTATTTTGTGTAATTCAAGTGGTTGTTTTATGCTTTAATTTTGAAGGCAGTGTTGGGCACTGGGTGAAACGGGACCGCTCTAGTCGTGGAAAAACAAACTGTTTCGTAGTTTGTTCAACATTGTGAACCAAATTGAAAACCAAAACACGGAACAAGGACTGAACTCATTTCAGTGGAAAACGGGTATTTGAGAAGAAATGGCCGACTCTTTCCCAAAAATGTCTTATATGCTGACAAGACAAAAAATAAAAAAAAGACTTACCTGACGTCGCAGCGTTGTCGCATCGACCACAGTCATGTCATCAGGGCCCGCATCCATTGAAGAGTCAAGTGTTGATAGTGCAAGCCTGTAAAAAAGACGTCAGTTTGAGAATGTAATTACTGATAACAACCACAACAGAGCGTACATGCAAAGTAGCACATTTCAGATCTACAGTGCAAATGAGCAACAGCGACTTCACTTCACTAGGTGATCATTAAAATGAGGATGGAGGATAGGAAAAGGAAGAGGGGAAAGGGTTGAAGGTGAAGAGCCAGGTGGAGTTACCTGGAGTCCTGCAGGGGGTTGGAGCTCGAGGCCGCCCCCCCTCGCAGTGATGGTTTGCTAGAGGTGGAAAAGACAGGGTGGGGGGGAAGAGGAGAATAAGAGTGATAGAGCAACACACACATGTCACAGTGTTGCATCCATGCACACACCTCGCATGTCCTTCCAGTTACTACGCTTTCTAGGCCTCTCGTTTAAATGTTAACAATTGAATTTAACTTTTTTCGAAAATGAAATATACATTTGTTGGCAAACTGACTAATCCCACCACCACTTTGACCTGAAGGTAGATCCAATTCAGTTTCAGATTGTGAAGGTACATCAGGCAGAATGTATGTATTTTATATTTTGATTAATACATGCTGTTTTAATATTGTTACAGATTTGTCTCAGTTAGAAATGATCATGTTATGCTCGAGTCTTCAAAGGGGCCAAGCTGAATTAAAGAGAAAACACTTCCTTGTCCTAAAAGCAGGTGAAATTAATCTAGATTTAACAGGAATTTGAGGAACAACTGAAGCAGTCAGTGTTGTCCTTTCTGAGCAGAGTTTTTTTTAAAGCAGAAAATGTCCGGATGATGGAGAGGTCACCTGCTGGGGTTTTCGTCCAGGACCTCCAGGACCTGCTGGTAGGCCCGGCGTGTCGTGGACTGGAGGAAAGAGAGAACACCGCTAGCGCTGTACAGGTTGTGTTCCTCTTCGGCCGCGGTGAGAGGGGGCAAAGGGTGGGCGGTGGGAGGGGGGGAGGGGGTCGCGCTGCTCAGTGACCACCGTTAAGAGCAGCCAATCAGAGGAGAGGGACAGACAACAGAGGAAGGAAAGGAAGGAGAGGGAAGGAAGGAGAGAAATAAGGAAAATAAACTGTCCTCAACTTCACTGATTTTGTGAAAACTGCAAGCCCTTTTAACGTTTCATCAGCAGAGGTAACACATCAACAAGTGCTTTTTTACTAGTTAGAAGTACAAGACAAACTATCCATAATGTTATTTTGGCTTAAAGGAATTCCAACAAGAGATAGTCAAATTGTTACTTCTTAATATCAACATTTAATAGCTTACTTGTGGAAAAGCTCAATGTAGATATCTACAATTGTCCGTACAGTTAAGATTCTAGATATCTTAAATTAAATTGTGACTTGTCAGGATTAAACTATTGAAATGACAGCATTGATTTGTAACTAGTAAGAATGTAATTACAAGATATCTAAAATTACATTCAGATATTTCAAATATAATTGTAACTACTGAACTCTACCTTATACGTACTAGTAACATTATACATTTGAGGTACCAAACATGCCGTTAATAACTTTTTAGAGTTCAATTTTAGAAGGAAATGAGTTTGTAGAACTTTGTAGGTATCTTCAACAACGGACGTAAATATTCCAAAATAAATATGGTCCGATAAAATCTGCATATGTGGAAATGTGATTAGAGATTTTTGAGTAATTGTTCATTTGACTTATGATGTCTGTAAAGACTAGTCTAATATGTCAAATTGGTTTAGCAGATGCTTTCAATTCCATTGTCACAAGTGAAAACTAGGCAGCTTTTTATTAGGTAGCCCTACTGATTCAAAGTGAAATGGGCTTGCCATAAAACGAGTTCAAGATATGTTGTAATATAGCAAGAGATTTGAGCTGCCAACCACTAACAGTCCTTTACTAACAAATAATATAATTAACAAAAATGGAGACGTGAACTCAAAACACTGACAAGCAAATGATTCCAACTCTTTTTGTGCTGACCTTATCAAAGACGTCACATGCAGATGTCATGAGGAAGGAGATGAAGGGACATGAAGTGGATTTTGCTGCACAAGCATACTTGTTGATATATACACATTCCAATCTGCTATTCATCATGTGTTACCTTGAGAGCACTTTGTGAAGCTCTGTTGTGCCGAGTGATGTTGTAAGTGTAAGTGGGTTTATACTAGGGATGGGAATTTGAAAGCAAATGTATATTCGAATATTCGACCTCCCAAAAAACGGTTAACCGAAATGTACATATCCTATTAAAAAAAAAAATTGGGTAAAAAAAAAATATTTTTGACATTTTTTTTCTTCCAATAACTTTTGAAAATAAGTAAATACACGTTCAAATAAGAGTAGAAACCAAGTCGAATTTGTCAAATGTATTGAACTGGTGATCACAGTTTGACAGCTATAGGCCTACAGCTTTCATGCTTAAAACATCAAAAACCTATAACAGGGCCTCTGCACAGAATGCAGCTACTCATTCTTGTTTAAAAATATGAGCATGTCTACATGCTATGGGGAGATGCGGGTGTGGAGGCGATTCACAATCAGGCCAGCTGTAGAGAAGACCCTCTCAGCTGGAACGGAGGTTGCGGGTATAGCAAGGTATAGCATGTATATATAAGTTTAATTTGACATAGTTTGACCTCTACACCGCACTTACCAACCTGGTCGAAATATTTCCACACATTACTCCTTTTTGACGCCATGTCTGTTGTGTAGGACTCTTCTTGGAGTGTAAATAATTACCGGACTATGACTGGTAAAATATGTTGAATACCGGCAAAACTAAATCTCTCCTGTCAAAATGTCTATGTACTTTGCCGCCACACACGGTTGCCAAGCAGCGCTTATTGTTATTTAGGCTGGCCACTCATGTGTCGCGAGTGTTGACAGGGGGCGGGGGAGCACGCTCATGAACTGTTAGCGCCGGAACCTCGCAACGGCCTAAGATGAGGTTTGAGTCTGCGTGATCTGCGTGTAGGGAGGGGCAGCAGCCATATCATTGGCTAGAACCAGCTAGATCTGATGGATTTGGACATAAGCACGAGTGAAGTATAACCGGACGCGAGAGAGAGAGATCAGCACCTGCAGCTCTGCCCGCTGTGAGGGACCGGTGAGCGGAGCAAAACACACCTTTAGACGTCACCTAACACATTTAGCTATGGCACAGTCGTATACATTGAATTATTCAATTTGATAATATGTAATCAACTTAGGCACCTCTCACAAAAAAAAAAAAAATATATATTCATAAAAATATTCATAACTCATATTCGAACACCTGAATAATTATTCGAATACCTGAATAATTTCGAATATTCGATTAATCGTTCCCATCCCTAGTTTATACACACTTTTTCATCCTTTTCCAGTTTTTTTGAAATCATTTTAACATTTAAAAAATCTGGATGTTGTCCCTTCAAAACTGATTAGTTCATAAAATGTTTGAAATCAAGGTATTAATGGATTAGTTTCAGCAACTACAATAACAACGAATACCTGACAGAGACAAGGGGAGGGGGAAAGAAAGGGCCAAAAGAAAGATGCTAGTGCATGCATGTATATGAGAGGAGATGGAGCTGGTAAGAAGCTTATGACGGCGTATTTAGACCCATACTCACGCAGAATCGCTGCGCATCATCTGAGTGTTGTGACGGGCCGAGGCGTTCTCGCTGGCTGATCGTTCCCGACGTACTCGTGCTTGTGGCCGCAGCTGCACGGAAATAAGGATGTTATGGTTAACTTTAAAGATGTTTGTGGAGCGTCATTTAAAAGACCATTTATTGTCTTTTTGCTTACCAGCTCCTCAGTGTCTGGAGCTGCTCTCTGCTGCTGCTGCTGCTGCTGCTCCTCCTCCTCCTCTTCCTCCAGGAAGTCAAGAGGCCGATCACTGAGGGTCAGGACTCTGGGTGGGGTCTTCAGAGATAGGCTTTCTAGTGGTGTGGACTGGATCAGGTCCAGGTCTCTGGGTCTGGGGAACTGGGGGTCATTACTGTCTCCTGACAAAGGAAGGTGTGAATGAGAGATGTTAGCATCTTCACTACCTTCAAAGGGGAACTAGTATGCTCATTTCCAGGTTCATATTTCTATGTTGTGCCTCCACTGTGACACGTCTCCATGCTTTAATATTTAAAAAAGCTCTTTATTGTTCTCATACTGTCTGTGCTGCAGCACCTCTTTTCACCCTCTGTCTGAAACCAGAGCCCAGTCTGCTCTGATTGGTTAGCTGGCTGGCTCTGTTATGATTGGTCAACCGCATAGATATCTCAGCCCCCCCCGCCCAGGATGCATTAGCCTCTCTCATCTCTTGCCAGTTTCTCTCACCCTGGAGCTGTTACATTACGCAAATGACTCTGTGGTCTAAAATACAGTAGCGACGAGGTCATAATTATTTTACCGTGCAATATGTGAGGCTATTTTCTGATACACTTTGCTCCCGAGTAGACATGATCTGAAAATAGATGAACTTGGCAACAAGGTCTGAGCAGAGGGTCAATTAAATCGTTACAGACATCGTTGATTTGTACTTTTAAATCCAGGCTGAAGACTTTTCTTTTTGCCGCTGCTTTTAATTGAACTATTCATATCTTTACACTGCGCTATAACTTTTATTCATGTATTTTAAAGTGGACCTATTATGCTATATTTTAAAAATATATTGTAGGGCCATATCTATACAAAACATGTCTGTGAAGTTTTTTTCTTAAAATACCAAACAGATCACTCATTGTAGCCATGCCTCACACTGCTCATACCCCTCTTTTGCAGCCCTGTTGCAAACAGGCGGATTCTGCTGCTAGCCACGCCCCTTTTAGCATCACGCAGCTTTCCCCTGCTACCGGGAGATCTCAGCTAAACGCTGCGGTGATTAAATGCCATGTTATGCCCCTAACCACTTCAAGCTTTATTTCTGAAACAGTATGGAGCTCAAACCTTTCTCTCTCGCAGGGTTTACCACAAGGACATTACGTTACACATATTCTCTCCAGTAGCCTACAGCGTTAGCTCCATGGTTAGCTCTGAGTGTTAGCATGCTTGCTAATGTAAACACACAGCATATTACTCCCAAAACACGCCGCACATTGTTTCTGATACAGCACATAGCCTGACATGTTCTTTCTTAAGTGTTTACCGCTAGAACAGTGCCATTATATGTATTATATATATATATAACAACTTTACTCTAAGCCTCCAGCAGACATCCTGCTGAATACACAGACACACAGCTGCGACTGTATACGGAGACGATAGGTTGGGACGTGTCACGTGTGCCGGAGACGATGGGTTGGGACGTGTCACGTGTGCCGGAGACGATGGGTTGGGACGTGTCGCGTGTGCCGGAGACGATGGGTTGGGACGTGTCGCGTGTGCTGGAGACGATGGGTTGGGACGTGTCGCGTGTGCCGGAGACGATGGGTTGGGACGTGTCACGTGTGCCGGAGACGATGGGTTGGGACGTGTCGCGTGTGCCGGAGACGATGGGTTGGGACGTGTCGCGTGTGCCGGAGACGATAGGTTGGGACGTGTCGCGTGTGCCGGAGACGATAGGTTGGGACGTGTCACGTGTGCCGGAGACGATAGGTTGGGACGTGTCGCGTCGGCCGGATGTCGCCTATGACGTTATAGGAGCGAAAATTCTGGATCTGCTTGTTAGCACCCCCCTTTTTTTTTTAGATGTGGGTACGGAGGAAAAGAGAGAGGGTTTTGTTTTCTGACACTTTGTGAGTTCCCTGACACACCGGCGGGGACACATTTATGTATAAAAGACATCAAAAAGTGCATTTTGCATGATAGGTCCGCTTTAAATATCACGTACAATGTGTTTTGGAGCTCCAGTCAATAAAAGTGCAAGTTTTACATAGAGATGTTGCTATGTTCTAGAAGTAAACAAAGGATTACAATGGAGGCGTTTCAAGCAGGGGGGGGGGGGGGTAGTCTGTGGCAGCGAAACTCTTTTAGCCTTTGCAGAGTATTTACATGCACAAAAAACAATATAACACCCTACAGAAAAGTCAAAATCCCCAGAAGCCTCTTTGATAATGTGATCTGAATGCTGAGGTTGAATAATGACTTGAATCTTCACATGTATAGTAGACGTACATGTCGGTGTGGGAAATGGCTTTCAGTTTCATTTTTTACAGTCCTAAATAATTGGCATTACACAGTCATGAGCCATGTCATAACAAACGAACACAATAGTGATATAACAGTCAGCTGACAAGAACTACTGGCGGAGTTTGTGTGTAATAAAAGTCTTTGAACAGCACAGACAACACAGCCTACATTGTCAGAAAGCTTACTAACCTGAAATCACAATTCTCTCTGGGACTTGCATTGTGACACTGTGTGGGACCTCCTGAGATCCAAAATTAGGATCCTCGTGGCCGTGGTGACCCATTTTGAGCATCTCAGGGATCCGCATCCTCTGGCTGATCCCTTCGGTGTACTCCATCTCATACTGGATACGGTTCATCTCCGCAATTTCTGCCGTGGGGGAAGGGAACGCCGCTCCGTTCATTTTTGCTGTGAGGAATAGGTTGTTCAGGAACACGGTGCGTTTTGTTAGCCACAAAAAAAAGGTCACAGAGGGAAGATGCCAACATGAGAGATCTAAGTTCTTATGGTTTCATTTTCAGTCCTGTTTAACCTGTCATGCTGCATACCTCCTGGTACATTTCATTAAACAAAAGCGAATGCACACTGATCCCAAATCTCCTTAACCCACCTTTTTAAGCTGTGAACAATGTCTCAGACTACTGGTTTACAGAACTAACTACAGTAAATATACAAAGAATACTGAATATTGCAAATGAACATAGTTGTCAATTTGGTTGTGTACTATCTGATGGATTTACAGAATCTACGATCACCCATTAATTTCCTATTGGGGTCCTTTTTGGCTTGGAACACCATTGACTAAAATGAAATGTAAGTGGTTATCAGCAATTGTATATGGTCAAATGTCTAGTGTGCAGGATATCATAAAGGCATTGTAGTAATCAAATGTAAGACACATTATTTATGATAGATAAAAGTAGTGAATGGGTCAGATTTGACCCGACCATGACAGGAGGGTTAAGGATCTACTCAGAAAACATTGGTGCAACTGATGAGCTGTAGGCAGGAGTTAGGGCTGGAGCATTTCTCCTGACACTCTCATGATAATAACTTTGCATACAGGGAAAGATGGAAGCCACAATTTGGCAGTAACCTTGACTGTATGAGATAAGAGCTGCTACAGGTCCCTACAGAATATATCAATGAAATGCTAACACAATGCTAATATCAAAAGGAAGCATAATTGGCTAATACTAGTGAGGCTAACACCATAGTTATTTAATGACCTTTTCATGCTAACGTTAGCACATTCGCATTATTTAGCAGACGACTTTGTCGCCCTCTGATGTTTAGTTAACTGTTATGATACCTACGTTAACAACATCTCAAAGCTTACAATAGTTTTAGTTTGACAGCTAACACACTAGCGCCATTTCAAGCTAGCGCGGTAGTTTCAGTATCTTACCGTTTGGTTGGTTGCTATGGTTAGCTTGCTTTCCAAATATATTTATCAGATCTTAGAGGAAATAAAATAACTTCAAAGTAAACCCAGAGTGGTACGGTTAAGAGTATTACAGATGATGTAGCTGTCAGGCATCTCCCTTATGTTGACACGAGAGGAGCCTCCTCTCTTCTTCCGCCGTCCGTCCTTCAAACAGGAAGTACCAGGAGCTCAGGAGGAAGTGACGTCGCTAAACTGAAATCAAAAATATTAAAGTAAATACAACAAAAAAAGTTTTACCTGGTGTTACCTGGTGTTCTTAAATGTCTTTTGCTTTTAATCTGTAAAATACTTTGAATCGCCACGTGCTGAAAAGTGCTATATAAATAAAATTGACTTGCCTTGCCTTGGTCAATTTGAGATGTATTGAAAACGCATTGATTATGTATGGTAAATGTAACACATGTAACATAACAAAGGTTATCCCAAAATGTCACTTTTAACTCACTAACTTTAAAGTAAGACATAACTTTGGTACTATACAGAAAATCATGATTTAAAAATAAGTATATCAAAGTCAGCTTTATTGTCAACATTTCTACATGTGTTATAGCCTATACAGAAATCTCGAGATACCGTTTCCCGCAGTCCCACAGTGTGACATATAGGCTATACATAAAACAAGATACAAAAGGGCCTAGATAAACTAAGTAATAGTTAATAATATATTTAAAAACGCAGTCCACAGAACATAAATTGACATTAATATAATTTGTGCAAAATAGAACATTTTTCAAAGTACAGTTTCAGTGCAGTAGCAGCGGAGATGGGTAGAAAAGTGACTGTTGCTGGATGAGGGAAGGTTGTGTGGGTGTGTGTTTGTGTGTGCGCGCGCACGTGTGCGTGTGTGTGTGTGTGTGTGTGTGTGGGGGGGGGGGGGGTTAAAGTCCAGGACCATTTGGGGCTGAGGGGAAAGGTGGGAGGCAGGGTGGAGAGGTCAGGGGAGAGATGTCAGAGAGGGGGAGAGAGGGAGGGAGGGAGGGAGGGAGAGAGGGAGGGAGGGAGGGGAGAGAGTTCAGCATCCTGACCGCCTGCTGCACGGAGGAAGCTGTTCCTCAGCCTGGTGGAGCTCGAGATTTTTGTTAGTGAAACGTGTGTTTGAACTTTTTTTGATTAAAGGTAAGATATTCATGTTTCAAGTCTATTTTTAGTTTTTGTTTCACATATTGCTTGATTTAGACCTAATATAATTCATACATTTTACAGTACTTTTAATATAGCCTTTTGTGTGTTTTTTTTAATGTCATCTTGTGTTGATGTTTTTATTTTTTCTACGTTTGCTTTGAAGAGCATCTAGTAATACTATCTGGGAAACAAACCGTATAAATAAAGTTTAGTTACTTCATTTCTATATTCGAATTTTTAATCATGCATCAGTTTTTGTATTATATATTATTAATGTAATGAAGATATTATGAATTAAGTATTTGATGTAGAATGTTGCAGCATTCACAATGCATCATCCATTATGCATGTTGAATATTTATTGATTTCCTACATATAACAAATGAAATATAATTACACTAAAATAATATCCTTCTCTGAACTAGGATTTGTTTATTTATCAGTTTAGTACATAGTATAGTGCCCATTAGACTGCATTGAAGTGAAAGGTTTTCATTTAATTTGATGCCCTTCTCACTGTCTTGAAGGCTGTTTTGATCAATTATCTGACAACCATGCATTGTGGGTTCGTCAGCTGATGGTCATCTCTTTATTTTGCACCTTTAAAACTCAACAGCATCACATACTTCCCACATCAGCCATCAGTTCTGATATTATTGATCCAAAAAATCAACTTGCTTGTTATTTAAACATTGGTTCAATAACTTAGTTTTGTTTCAAGTAAACCCCTTGCAAGGACTCCTTTTTGACTTAATCCACTCCCACTTTCAGCCACAGTATTTCTGAATACGATACATTTAGAACACTTCTTGCATACATGTCTTTACTTACTGCCACATCGAGTGTTTATTAAACAGATAGTCTAATACAAAACGATGTGCCTAAACAATATTGAATTCCCAGGTCAATGTCGGTGGGGTTTTGGAGGTGGCCCCTCAGTTACTGTGGGTGGTGCGTTCAAGGAGCCATTCAAAGACTGCGATTGACAGACCAGTCGTCCCTCTGCTTAACCAGTGAACGGGAAATCACGTCTGGATCTCTGGGAAATATCGATATGACACAAACATCAACTTTTGAGTCATGACTTAATGCGGACTTCCAGAAATATCAGGATGCTCTACATTTGATGGACACAGAGGCTGCGTCAACTTCACTTTTTCTCTCCGTGTCTGTAACCGGCTGACATTATGTTCTCAGACATTTTCTGTGTGATATTATTTTGCACTTTGCACTTCATTGCATCATCTTCGGAGCTGCAGCCTGGCATGTAAGTGACGCTTTTTTAATATAGATAACGTTTTAATTTGCACTTGGTCTAATTGAATAATCAGATGACAAACATTTGTTTACGTTTCATGATTTAGAGTAAGACAGATGCAAACGTTATATCCTATTTTTACACGCACCATTTATATTTGTACGTGTTTTATTAGTTCAAAGACGGCTACAAATGTAAGTCTAGTCAGTAGGCTAAATATTTTTACCTTATAGTGTACTCTCTTTATTTCCCACTAGGCGTCGCTCTTTCAGGTCCCATAAGGATGCATGTGTGTTTTAGCAATGCAGTAACGTGCTTCTGCATAATAGCTTACACTGGAATGTGATTTTTTGTGTGCAAAGTCCTCTAACATTTAAATGGGCTGTGCAGGACATGATGATTGGAGGAATCGTTTTCATTACAGGAGAAGCGGAATACTTCCTCTAGTTAACTTCAGGCTGCTCTGTATTGAAGCCAGATGTGTTGTGCAGGAGGACACCTCTGGATAGTTTACCTGCAGACATGACAACAACACACAAGCTGCTGTACACACAAGTGTTGTACATTACATTACCCCTGTGCTGTCTAACTTTATATAACCGACTCATTCATGCAAACAATTTTGTAGAAAAATGTTTTAATTTCCTCTGGAGGTTAATTGGATGTTTGTTTTTAATCAAGCCCATGGCACCAAACAGGAAACTGTATAATTCTTTTACAAACAATGTGTCTGTCATAGTATGATGTGCATGCACCTAAACATGTGTAAAACATGTGTTACTTCATGTATGTTGGAATACATAATCAGCTGGCTGAGACCACCATCGGAAGGGAAGGGATATAGCCCACCTCAACATACAAGTACCTCAAGTACAACAATGAAAAACAGACAGGACAGCAGAAAGTCTACATATCTTCCGTTGCAAACTGAAAAAACACACCTTGTACCTTAACAAATAAAAAGCGTCAGCAAAATGAAATGTAATTACATGCTTGCTCTTAAAAGTCATAACACTATATGATATTGTTCTTCAATTGTAAGTCTTAAAACTGTTTTAACTGCACCTGTCCCTGTTTCTCTCTCATGTTTTTGTGTGTGTTCTTCCATGCTCAGGCCGAATGTGTGTGCTGACCAGGAGATGTCTATGTTGGGGGCCCGTCAGCCTTGTGTCCAGGCTTTTACCCGCATGGTGAAAGTGTGGAAGCAGGGCTGCAACAGCCACAGATGGTGCATGGGCTATGAGAGAAGGTAAGAGCAGAAATAGTTTCCCAATTTTGTACCAGTTGAATTCCATAGAAAAGACATCTCATTCATAAGCACAGCTGCAGAAAGCCAAGTCGTGAAGGACTGTTTAACACATTAACCGGCTGCATATAACCTGGAGTTTCTCTGGTCATTTGCCATTCATAATCTCAGCTGGAATAAAGGGCTGGAAAAGAGAGCTTCTCCCCCTTTTTGTGCACGGTGCGATTGGAGATCCTTATTTTAAAGCTTTATCTGAATGGAAACCATTGCAGCTCGGAATATGTCAAACTGGTCTAATTATTAAAACCCTACTTATGGTCCTATATGTTGAAATGTGTTTACATTACAATTTATTGAGATCCGTTTGAGCTGTACCATGTTAAAGTGAGTTGTAATATTCACGTTATTTTCAGGCCATATATATATGGACCTATAATGTAATATTGTGACTTTAACATACATTTCTCCTCCTCAGGACAGCATACTACACAGTGTACAGGCAGGTGTACAACATGGACACACACACAGTCTATAAGTGCTGCCCTGGCTGGAGACAGGAGGGTGAAGAGATGGGCTGTCTGCATAGTGAGTGAAAGCATTATACACATGCTATATGCATCACATAAGATGCCAACAAACCTTTATATAGTATATATATATGTGTGTTTGTGTGTGTATAGAGTATGTATATTTCATATTTAGTACAACAATTCACCTGGAACAATTAAGCAGGAATGTGGCCATCCTGACTAGATCTTCAACATTTCTAAAAGTACACCCAAACAAGTTTACATTTCAAAGATTCAAAGGTTTTACTGTTATATGCACAATACAACAACAACAACAACATTTACAACAACACATACTAAACTTAGGACATAAACAAAAAAAGGTTAAAATGCAACATCTGAGAGGAGCTCAAGACACTGCAGCCAGATGCCATCATGATGTCACATCATGTATACACCTGCAGCCCTGTAACATGTGATTTGTGGTTTCTGCAGGGGTGTGTACTGCAAATACATGTTTCAATAGAGGCCAGTGCGCAGAGACTGGAGACAAGATCTGTCAGTGTCCCATGGGCTTCAAAGGGACGCGATGCCAGTATGGTGAGTTCATTCATGTTTTTAAACCTGCATACTCCACTTGCAGGTATTCATACAGTGAACTGACTTAGTCCCTCATAGGACAACATGTTGTTACAACTTTAATAGGCCACGTTCAGACCTTATGCTTTCAGTTTGAAGAGGCAGAATAAGCCTGTAGTGTAGCTGTGATTGGACAAGTCTGCTCTATGGGGGGTCTCTGGGTAGTTAAAGGTAGAAGAAGTGCACTCTGGGTAAGAGGAATGTTTTCCTTTGAAGGCGGCTGGAGTCTGGAGTGCTGTGGCTACCCCAGCTGAGTCTCCACTCTATAAAACGCTATGCTAATGAGGGGGTGCAGTTCTGGCTTCATATGGTTAAAAAAAAGACAAATCCCACACATTTAAATGCAAAAAACATATTCAGAATAGGGAAGTAAGATGAGTATCGATACCATTCTCATGTCTATAAATATGAATCCACAGCAATCAGCAGGTTAGCTTATCTTAGCATAAAGACTGGGGAAAACAGCCAGCCAACAGTAGCAAAACCCACTTAGCAGCACCTCTAAAGCTAACCAATTAACACAGCTCGATGACAATTTGCTGTTTTACGAGGAGCTAGACTGTTTCTTGCCTGGGAGCAAGAAGTAACTTCCTGGAGTCTCCACTGGTTTACTGTTCAAGGACATAAACAAATGAGATATAACGCATTAATAGTATGTTTAAAAGGTGGATTTTATTGCTTTTGGATAATGTCCAGTCTCTGTGCTATGCTCATTGGCTGCTAGCTTTGCTGTATCAAATGTGTATCAATGCTTTGAGCTCTACAGAGGGCAAATAAGCATATATTGCAAAAATGTTATAGGCCGCTCATCTTTAAATATGTATAATCAGAGATTCTAACCAACATAATTGTATTCAAATACCTGAAAGCTAACTTGAGAACAAAAACGACATAATAAGAAGAAAAAAATGGTGTTATGATGCGATAAACTTCATGTGCCCGAAAGGAAATTTGTTCTGGTCTCCATACTGCAGTTCCACAGAAGATAACAATTACAAATCATACATACTACATAGTACATGATCAAAAACATTAACATATATTAACACATGACTTGTGCACATGTACATATACACTTTTTGACCCTTTTGCACAACCCTCATGGCCAACACAATATACATATACATTTGAGTGTTGGGAATCCTAAATAGAGGACTATAAAACAGGGTGTACTGTAATACCGCAATAACCTCAGGCTTAGGGCACAGTCAAATCACAGACTGAATAGGGTCAAACTTATGAAATCCGGTAAAGGACACCCGAGGGGAACTTTTGCCTTGAACGTCTAAAAAAAGGTGAGCATTAATCGCAAGGATGCTGTTATTTGCAATATTATTTTGCCCCTTCTTTCACGTAGAAAGGAAGTTGACCTAAGACAAATGTTGAATGTGTGACCACTGACCAGTGAGCTTGTACAAAAGCTGTTGGTCCCTCTTGTCTAGTTAGCGTCTGTTCTTTCGACTGTCCAATCCCCTGCAGTCTGCGTCAGCATGCAAACAGGAGGACAGGAGGTTGTTTGTGTTTTGGAAGAGTCCCGCTGAGACAAAATGGTGACCAGAGCATATTTGTTTCCTACCCCCCACATGCACGCACACGCACGCACGCACGCGCACACGCACACACGCACGTACACACACACACACACACACACACACACACACACACACACACACACACACACACACACACACACGCACACACACACACACACACACACACACACACACACACACACACACACACACACACACACACACACACACCACACACACACACACACACCACACCACACACAGCTCTTCCTCTTGCTAAGACATTTCACAGGAATGTGTCGTTGTTTGTTGGAGGCAGTTCTCCCGTGCGTTTGTTTTGACATGGCCTCTTTGGTTTTCACACATCGGAGTGACAGATAGAAAACCGATAGACATTTGATCCAATCAGAATTCCTCTAGGTTTCTTGTACATCCTGTGCTTTCAACTCATCTCACTCGTCTCCTTCTGTAAAGCGGTTTTCCTTCTGTCATCCCGCACGGCTGATTTATCGTCACTCTTCTGCCAAAATCATTATACAAGGAGACAGTCAGCCAAGCTCCTGTGTTCAGCAAAGTTTACTCACTGAACCTTTGTTCAGTGCAGGGACATGAACTAATAATCCTGTGTTGTAGGCTTTGTTCTAATCCGGGTTTCAAGGTATTTTAGAGAGAAAATAATCGCAATTAAATTCTTATTAGTGTAGTTCAGATTAAAAAAATGACAGTGACTACAGTTATATAAACTATTGTCTGAGTTTCAGTGTTATACTGTATAAAGGCAACATATGCTTTTATGCTGAGTGGCATAACGATACCTCACTTGTACAATATTGTGTAAGATTGACTCATTAACTGCTAAAACAATTACAGCAATACACAGAGAGATTTTGTCTTAGCTTTTCACCCTCTGTCTAGAACCAGAGCCCAATCTGCTCTGATTGGTTAGCTGGCCAGCTCTGCGATGTCCCGGCGATGAGCATATCACATACAATGTGTTGGAGTGCTAGCCAATAGAAGCGTGGGTTTTACGAAGTGATGTCACTATGTTATGGAAATAAATAAAAGGAGTCCAATGGAGGCGTTTCAGGCAGGGTGGGAGAGGAACTACCTCTGGAGGGAAATTTCAGATTTTAGCCTTTGCAGACCATTTACATGCACAAACCCCATATAACACACTGCAGGAAAGCAGAAGAATGTGTCTCAGGACTCATAATAATATGTTATTTTAAAAAAGGTTTAAAGGGTTTATTACTTTGGATAATGCTAAGCTATACTTAAAGTGGAAGGAACATTTACTGTAACGCATCACTGAAACAGTAAATCTAAAAATGGGCCATTCCCAAAAAGTTGATGGACAGAACTAGCAGCAGAATCATGAAACCTGTGCGTGTGTGTGTGTGTGTGTGTGTGTGTGTGTGTGTGTGTGTGTGTGTGTGTGTGTGGATATTAGCCATGCATTGTACATTCCAGTATAACATAATTACCAACAGAGACTGCAACCGTAGCTCAACCTGGAAATATGTGTGTTCGCAGTGAACCAGGGAGTCCTCTGTATTATTAGATTTGCTTTGTGAGCGTTGACATTCCTCAGTGACAGACTTATTACAGTCCTGTCTGTGAATCATGTACGATGAGAACACGCAGATTCAGTAGAGAGGCAGGAATTCTGACCTCTGTAGATTTATGTTGGAGTAATCATTTATAGGCAACTGGATTGGAAGTTTGCTCATGAAGATGTCTATCAAGATGTATTCAAGATGTATTATGTTTCCTGCTTTACCATGTGTTCTTATCATAAGCGCACAGCATGTAATGCCTGTTGTTGCATTTAAGTATTTTGCATTACGGTCTGTCTTTCTGTCTGTTTTTCCTGGCAAGCCTGGCTGATAGTCTCTCTGCCAATCAACCTGTCTTTCGGTTTGTTTATTAGCATTTAACTGAAGCCTGAGATACTGCATGTGCATGTCTATTTATTCAAAATAATGATTTTATTGGACTGCATTCAATGATTTTGTGTAAACATTTAAGGGGGTTTTATGGAGCTAATAGTTCGGTAAAATGTATGCTTGTGCATTTATGTGTGTGAAGTACAGTGGTACAGAAATGAGTCTTAAAACCTTGAAATGATTTAGCATTTCCCACTTATGGTTCCTTCTTCTCGAAGTGAAGGTTTTTTTGAACGCGTTTGTGGTGTCTGGAGCATGAAATACAGTCTGTGGTTAACACAAGCTCAAGAGATTTTGACGTTTTCTTCTATGACATAACATTTTGTCGAGGGATAAAGTGCTATGTTATACAGTACATTTTCCATTTACCATTTAACTCAATTTCTTTCCTGGAAAAGAAAAAAACGAAAACTCTAAAAACCTGCTTTGGACTCAAAGAAGAAAAATAGCTAGCAAACAGCTGCTCATGCAACCCAGTCTCACGGCATTTCGTGTTATAGTCACAAAATTAATTTAATCTATTGATTCGTGTTCACCAACACGATTTTTGCATTTCTTTCGTGTCACACAACGATTTTAAAAGCAACGTATTTCTATTGGTAGTATGTTTCGTGCCTGCACCACGTCTTTTTATCCGGTCGGGTCTTGGAAGACCAGAAGCTGTGTGGTTCATAAAAACAACCATAACCCTAACCCTAACTCTGACTCAATATCTTACCCTAAGCCTAACCCTAACCCTTTTATTTTAAATTGTATAATGTCGGAGTTTTTTTGCCATCCGCGAGGAAAATAAATGGCTCAGAACCTGAGAATACTGAAATCTGTATTTAGAAAAAAAAACGTCCTTCTAATTTGTTATTATTTGGTGCAGGCACGAAACATACATACTACTAAAATCGTTCTGTGTCAGAATACTGAAATCTGTATTTTTTTTAAATCTCTTTTTCCTTCATATTTGTTATTATTTACATTACTTTTAAAAATCGTTCTGTGTGACACGAAAAAATGCAAAAATCTAGACTAGACTAGAGCCAAACATATGAGTGAATAATGGTATAACCTTTGCCGGGTGGACGGAAACAAGAACCCAAATGAATATTTAATTTGCTTTGTAACCGCTGGAAGTGTAAATAACTAGTTTGCTCAAGTAAAAGTGTATAACTTCATTGTTTTGTTTATAATTTTGTTTCGGATGCCCCCTAGTGGCCAACAACTCAGTTACGTGAAATAATGTATTTATTTTTTAAACAAATATGAATGCTTGGCCTTAACAGCAAAAGTTATAAGTAGAACAATCATTATGATCACTCACTATAACTGTGTTGAAAAGCCTTGTGCCTTTTCAACACAACTTACTCCATGACTTCAGTAGAGGGAGAATTTACCCTGAGAGCTGATGTTAAAGAGCAGTCTGGCTCTGGTAATAGTTGAAGCCAGAATCCGTGCTTTGCTCCCTTCTTTTCAACACCCATCGTGGATCGGC